GGATATAAATACCCTATTTTTGCTTTAAAAATTGTAATGGTTCATCAGATTACTACTTTAAGCTGATTATTTCTCACTATGTTCAATGGTTTTGGATCAGAGTAATTTTTGCATGCTGACGTACATGTGACCACTCACATAAAGGCTAACTTCTCAACTGTTGAGGAATTAAAGATTTATGTTCACAATAATCTATTTAATGTCTAATCACTTAAAAGCCTTTTTTTGAAACTTATCAAACAATAATATTGTGTACTTGAGAAAATCCAATAAACCAATAAAATACCAAACAGGACCAACAACAATCTAATAAAAAGTACAGATATTCGAACATTTCCATAAGTGTCCAGAAAATATAAAGTGAAAGCAGTTTTCACTACCATGAAACATATTTCAATCAAAGGTTGAATCACCTCTGAAAACCAAGACCACCTTTAGTAGTATTACAAAGTTTGGGTTCCTTTTCAAATTATCAATGGCTTTCTGTCCTGCTGTGGTGAGATTGGGAAAAAGAAGTACTATGTCTGATCTGTAATGCAACATTTCTGGGAGGGCATTACATTGCTCACTCTAGGTTAGTAGGAAAGTACAGGGTCAGTCAATTGGACCGAGTCACGTGACCTTTTGTATTCGTTTAAAGTCTTTATAAATTTAATATTCATAACTCTCAATATATTGGGTATATCTTCACAAAATTTTGCAGTCTTTCAGTTAATATTACAAGTCTTTCACATACAAAATGTCATACTTCTTAGTGAAGTATTTTTAATAAAGTAAAGATTTGACCATGAGTATATTGAGTATTTGTTTTGAATAGTCCGTATGCAATGTAATTTTCATGTTAAAATTAAAAATACTTTTCGTCATTTCAAAAATGTAAAATTTCCATTGTGTAATCCCTAAAACCTCCTAAATGCATTTCAAACTTTTTTTCACTAAATCCTTATAGTTTATATGTTACTTTCTCTAACCTGTCTCAAAACAGGATCAGTCAATTCGCCCGACCTCATAACCACCAAAAAAAAAATCGAAATAAACCTAAATTTCTTTCTAGAATAACTTCAAATTGTAACATGAAACTACATTCGTTTATCCAAAGTAGCTTTAAATTCGTAACATTATACATCTATTTATAACTAAATTTTGTTTTACAGCCCTTTGAACCATGTCTAACTTGTATCTGCACCATTATAAGTTGTAAATCACTCGGGGAAGATTCAGCTCACGTGGACCATTATAATTATATTATTATCACTACTTATTTTATCTAATCTAGTCTTAAATAACAAAAAGATCCGTATTTTTAGATTTTAGATACTTTTATAATAATAAATAAAGAATAAATATGAAAAACAAGAAATAAAGTACTTACACAATCTTCTTTTTTCTTGCCATTGATTGTCGAGGAGAGTTAAGGCTGATTTTTAATAGTTATTATAGTAATGCAATTAACAATTTTTATTTAATTAAATATTGCACCAAAGAAAATAGGCTAATAACATGCAAAAAGTAGACAAATTCATTTACCTCTCAAAATTTTCCTGGCTTTCTACCTGTGTGACAAGAGCAGTTACTTCATATTCATCCAAGCTCGTTGTTAACTTTTCCATGAGAAAGATGTTGCTACTCTGAGTGAAATTGATAATTATCTGTCCAGATCACAATTTTTTACAATACATCATTTAATAGATGAAAACCTTGACTTTCTATTGGTTATTAGTAATATATAATGAAACGTAAGAGAGAACTATCAATGAATTGTAAAACAGAGGATGTGATAGGTGGGTGTGGCAGGAGTGGGGCTGATTTTCTATTTGATAGCTCTGTAGCCAAAGAAAATTAAAGGCTATAAAAATTATGGTTTGTTTGAGCAATAACGATTTTATAGAGTATTTCACATTTAATTTCGTACATTTCTGAGGGGTGATGGATAAAATAGGGATGATGACATGCTAAGACAAAATGTTTTACGTGGGTCACACTAATGGAAATTCAGGATTTTTTTATATATTTCCTTGTATGCTATTAAAATATGGATTATTAGCTAAGATTTTATACTATTCTAATTGGTATAACAAACAAAAAGTAGTTTTATAAGATTTGGAATGTAAGACACTAAAACCTTGCGTCATGGGCAGTAAAGGGTACCCGGGAAGAGAGGGTTAAGCATTAGTACAAATTTTATTCCAACCATTTTATTTATTTCATCAGATTTTTCTCTCTCTTCAGTATTTTCCTTTCTTTTCTTTTCAGTTTTTGTTCTATTTGTTTAGGAGACACCTAAATATGTTCTTTCTAGTCTATGTTCTTCATTTTTATTATTTATCCTAAGCACAACAGCAATCTAGTTTATAACTTTTGTATTGTTCTCCTTTATTTAAGTCTTTACTTACTCATATAATAAATTTAAGCATGTTTATTCAATTCATTTGTAAATAAGGTTAATAATCCCATATAATAAATTTAGCTATTTTATTCAATTTGTTTGTGACCAGTGGTGGCACTACAGGGGGGGGGCATTTGCCCACCAAATCTTTTTTGACCCCCTTAGCTTCAGGTATGAATGGTATAAAGTATATCCTTGGCTTGAATATTCCACATCTACCAACAGAGTTTACTGTTTTGTCTACTGTCCTTTTAGTACTGGCATTAAGTATCAAGGTGAGCAAGTTTTTGTGTCTGAGGGGTTCAATACATGGAAAAAGTGAATGGGGGAAGCTCCAAAAACAATAAACTTCTCAAACACGAACAGTCTGATGCACTGAACAACACGTACAAATATAATGAGAAAACAGTACTGGACATTGTTAATAAAGCTCACTGGCCGATTGTGGAGAACAAATAGGGAATACATCAAAATACTTGCAGATATGTTGAGACCGCTGTCAAAGACATAGCTCAGAGGGATTAGAGTGAAGTAGACACAGCTGAAAATAAAGGAAACTTTTTGGAAATATTAAACTTCTTAAAGACTTGTACCCATATCCTAAATGAACAACTGTGTGAAGAACCTAAAAATGTGAAATATACACACCATAGTGTACAAAATGCCATTTTGGATATCATCAGTGATATAATTTTGAACAAAATAAAAGAACAAATAAGAGAAGCTCAGTAATTTTTCAATCGTAGTCAATGAAACTAAATACCTATCGAAAAGTGCAGATAAGTTTGGTACTTCGGTACTTTATTGATTCAGACGTTCATGGAGATTTTCTTCGTTTTGAAGTTACTGATGAATTTGATGCAGAATCATTGCCAAATAAATTCTGGAGAAGTTAAAGGATAACAGACTTGATGTCACAAACATGTCAATGATATGATGGCACTGCTATCATGAGCAGCAAGTACTCTGGGATTCAACAGAAAATAAAGACAAATCATACCTCAAGCCATCTATATTCACAGTTTTGCTCATTGTAGAAAGTGTGGAACCTGTTACCCCTGAGGCTGACTTTTTCTCAATGCTTCAGACTTGCTACAATTTTTTAATTGGTTCTTATATTCACATTAAGTGGATTGATTTTCATAGAAGAAAAGACATGCACCCAAATGAAAAGAATGTAGAATTTAAAACAATGTCAGAAACACGATATGCTTGCCAGGTGCACGTGGTAAGTGCAATTGGAGCAAGGTTTGACTGTTTTATTAAATTTCTGCAGCATGTTGACATAAGTGATAGCAATGAGACCATGCAATAAATGCCAGATCCATTTAAGCACAACTTCACCAGACATTCGTATACCGTATGCTGTTCCTCAATGACAACTTACATGAAGCAAAATGAGCATCAGATATGCTCCAAAGATCCAAGTTAGATTACTTGAAAGCAGAAGATCTCAACGAGAGCCTACTAGCAATGTTGCAAACCTACAGATGTGATGAGAAAGCTGCACATTATTTTCAATGTTCTTGTGACATTGCTACCAGAAATGACCAGAAATGATGCAGTTGGCATCAGTTACAGAGCTCCACGCCCTCAAACATGGACAACTTTGTAGTTCTAACCACAATTGGGAAGTGGGATGCCATACGAGATTTGTCTGATATGAAACGAGTCATCTTGTTTCCAACCATTGATAGTATTTTTGGAGAACTAAAACAATTCAGTGGGGAAAATCTCCAAATACTCTGCTCCCTGTCGGCAACTGATCCCAAATCTGAAGAATTCCTCAATTTTGAGACTATTAAACCTCTTGCAGTCCATGATAGGCTGAATCTTGAAGACATATAAATGGAAATGGGGCAAGCTAAGAGAATGAATGAGAATTCAGGTGCAACATTTGGAGCAGTCAAGGAGTTTCCAGAACATCTCAAACCCCTAGTTATTGCTTTTACTGAACTTTAGAATGTTATAAAGATAGCAATAGCTCTCCCAGTTAGTACAACTAGCTGTGAAAGGAGCTTCAGCAAGCTAAAACTGATCAAAAATAAAATTAGAACAATATGGCAGACAAGAGATTGAAGAGTCTAACAGTAACTAGTGTGCACAGAAACATGCTCTTTCCATTAAACTTGAGGATGTTGTTGACAGGTTCATTACTAAGTTTCCAAATACAAGGTTAATGTTGGTTTAAAGTCGAATAGGAAGACCGTTCTGGTTGGAGACTTGGTAAGTTCATGCCCTTGGCTATTATTCATCAATCCACTTTAAAATGAACTTGTTATCCCCCCCCCCCAAAAAAAAATTACCTGCACATGCTAGAATGTTCAAAACCTTCAGTTCCCAAGGTTTGTGAATATTGTGGGGCTTCAAAACTCAATATAAAGTACTTTTTTGAAACCCAGTGTTGGTTCAATGTAATTCAGCATGCTAAGATTTGAGGGGGAACAATAAGACTCTTTGAAATAACACATGAGTATAAGATGTTTTGTTTTGCCCTCCCAGTTTTTGGTGCTCACAGTGCCATTGTTTATGACTAATGTTTTTAACATTTTTTTGTTTTTCTTTCAATATTTTGTCAATTTCATGTTCAAAAAAGATTTCCTGTTACACTTACCACAAGACATTTGAAATGAAGATAAATGATCCCATACTAAACTTCGTGCCCTTATCATGGCTTTTACACCTTCTGTGTTGTACCCACACCGAGATGAATAGTTGGTCCAACGATCCCCTTCTAGAAACTCCTCCCTGGATACACATGTTGCCATGGCAACCAAAATGTCAAAGTAGAGTGATACCTATAAAATTCATATCTTGATAAATGAAAAAAAAGCTTCCAAAAAATGTTAAAGCTAGCAAGGGCAATTAAATTCTAGAAAGAGAGATTCATATTTAAAAAAAAACATTAAAATCTACATTTTCATTTACATATCTTCTCAAATTCCAATCATAATATATTCTTGTTATTTCTGCATCTTATTCTATTGTAATGAGTACTGTCAAGTCATTTTCCAAACAGATTAAGATCTTCTATGTTTTTATTTTAGGTTATATTTTTTCCTCCACACAAACAAACTGTCATCTATAGTTTAGGGTACCCTTATCCCTATATCAATAGACAATTTTATGTGTAGCTGTAACATATTTTCAAATAAAAAGTGAGGTTACTTAAAAGTCAACACTAATAAGAAAATGTCTTTTACCTGCAGAGGTTCAGTTCCACTGTCAACCCCTATGTAAGTACAACTATCAAGAGGTGACAGACCGTGAATATCAAGCAAGCTTTCCACAACATTCTCTGATAGATACACAAGTCCTGAAACCTAGAGCAAATAATGTGTTTAATCCACATTTTCTCAATTCCTAGTTTGAAATGTTAGTCATATACATTGTCATTATTATGCAAAGCAATTATGTTTTAGCTGAAGATAAAATAGAATATTTCAATGTAGTTTTCAGCTTTTTTCTTGAACAAACTTTGTGAATTTATAATAAATATTAAACAAAATTTCAAAATATGTTAATGAAAATATAAAACAGCCTAAATTTCATTTTATAAAATAATCAGGAATTCATACAGAACACATTCTAACTAATTACAATACACTTATTCAACAACATAAGTACAATACATGTAGCAGTAATCAAAAATGACAAATACATAGTTCAAAATAAGAAAAGCATGGCAACTCACTAATGGAACTTTCCCATTCTCCAGACAGCAATCTTGGATAACATTTACATCCTGGCAAAACAAAATATCTTCTACACACCCCTAACAAAAAGAAACAAAGAATTTCAGAAAAAGTATTTAACATAATCTCTCAGTATTGCATTCAAAAGTGAAAGTGGAATAATTTTATAAATTACAAAATTTGGTATGGCTAAAATACACTAATTTCTTATTATAAGAAACAACACATTTCATGAGTGGATAATTCACTCACTATTATATATATATATGCATTTTAATAATTATCAAACATTTACCTTTTTTTAATTTCTACTTTACCTAATGCTGCATAATATATATACTTCCTTAATATATATATATATACCTGTTTGTTTCTACTTTCACTGATACAGGTCAGTGGGAGATAGGGGTGTCCTTGATGTAACTTGATTTTTTCCTGCTCACAGTGGAAATACTTAACCAAATTACAGGAAACTTAGTACAAATTTTTTAAATAATATCTAGTTTCAGATTTTAAAAAATCATATGTCTAATCAGTTTTAAAGTGATTGATATTCTTTAACACATTTATATATCTTATCAGTTTTAATGTGATTGATATTCTTTAACACATTTATATATCTAATAGGTTTCAATGTGATTGATATTCTTTAACACATTTATATATCTTATCAGTTTTAATGTGATTGATATTCTTTAACACATTTATATATCTAATAGGTTTCAATGTGATTGATATTCTTGAACACATTTATATATGTAATCAGTTTTAATGTGATTGATATTCTTTAACACATTTATATATCTAATAGGTTTCAATGTGATTGATATTCTTTAACACATTTATATATCTAATCAGTTTTAATGTGATTGATATTCTTTAACACATTTATATATCTAATAGGTTTCAATGTGATTGATATTCTTTAACACATTTATATATCTAATAGGTTTCAATGTGATTGATATTCTTTAACACATTTATATATGTAATCAGTTTTAAAGTGATTGATATACTGATACTCTATTTTGCCAACTGCAGTACTCACCACTTCTGTCAATATGTCTTACAAACAATGCAAAAATTAAAAAAGATTTATCGGTGACCTAGAATCTGACCTTTCAAAATGGTAATACAATAGATTAGGTTACGATATTTTTGTTAAAAATATTCTTGGTCAAAATCAACTTTTATTTACTGATTATACTTTATTTATGTGAGTTGTTTCAATATGGTCAACATACCAATAATTAATATTAAATAAACAAGGATTTGAGTTACCAGAGCCTTTTGCTGTCACCTACCGTATTCTCTTTACCTAATAAGGCTTAACTGATGTCACAGAAGAAAATTTCCATAGCATTCAAACAAATATAATTTATCAAAATATCTTGTAAACTATAAAAAATACCAGATCTGTGGTTTGTTCATAAGTCTCCTAACTTCTCAATGAATCTCATTGTTCTTCTCTGCATAAGCTTAGTGATGAAACCTCTCATACAACTTTATTCACTCTACATTGACATAAATAGTTTATGTCTATATAATGTTTATAATAATTTGGTCTATCCATTGGCATTTAAACTTTGCATGGAGCTGTCTTGAAATATGAGTTTCATTAATAGTTTTTAATCACTTATTACGAGGTCATAAGAGGATAGGAACCAAGAGAAACAAATGGAAAGAAATTTTTGTGAGAAACAAAATACTAATGCTAATATTCTTAGAGTTTTAAGCGAATATAAACCTAAGCTTCTGGATGGACAAACACATTCAAAAAATACTTTTCTTGTTCAGTGCTGCTTTCTATATGCATAATTTTTGCTTACCACTAGCCCTGTACTCCTACCTATCCCCACGCGTTTACACATCATACAGCTGCACTGTAGCATCCAAGTAAGTATGAGACAGCCCTCCACCAATACGAGTGTGACACACCCTCCTGATGCAGCTAGCTCCCTCTATACTGTAGAACCTAATTTTCACTTGGAGATTAGGCAAAGGAGCATTGGAAGTGGAGAGGACAGATATGATGTGTGAGAAGTGGTAGGTATCTATCGGAAATACATTTTCAGTGTAGATAAATTATAACTTTCAATACAATGCCTTTTCTCACATAATAACTAGAATCCCACAATGAAACAGTGAAGGAATCAGTGAACTCAACATCAGGTGACAGTAGGAAGGGGGAATGCAACATGGTGGGTCAATTACAGCGCACCTGGTGGTATTGGAATTTACCATCCAGTCTGCAGTAGCAGGAGGATCCCAACCAGCCACATGTCTGAGGACTTATGTTGGCCGGTCCTGCTCTAATTCCACCACAGACCACCCAGGAACCAACATCCAGGAGGCAGTAGAATGAGGGTCCCAGCCAAAGAGATGAACCATATGTGGTGCATCATCTACAGTCCAAAACCAGGTGGCATCAGATATTTTTCATCCAATCCACAATAGGAGGAGAGTTCACATCATTTAAACTGACAGAACACCACTGCCCTACTCTTATCTGAGTGGAATTTAGTATACCCAGGAGAATGCTTCCATGGTCCACCACTCCAGCAGCTAGGAGCTGGTAAGTGGTTAGGACTCCCGTATTCCAGTCAAGGGGGGGGTGAGGAGTCCAGAGCAATGTAACACTGGAGAAAGTGCAATGAGTGACCACAAAACCATATTTTTAAAAGCAGGCTGGTCTCGATTAATTCAACTAGGATCAGAGGTATGGGTAGCTATCCCGACACCATTTTACTCATGGCAGTCATTAGTTGATACCGTCTTGGATGTACCTTAATTATGTGTCAAAACACTGTGAGGAAACCTTTAATTCTCTTGCGGAACACCCCTTCTCAAAAGTGAGTGTTATAGACCTTAATGGTCATACGGTGTGCATTTATGGTTTAGTATACCTCATCACAGAGCAGGATCCAACAAGTAAAATGTGTCACTGTAAAGAAATTAAAGACGTACCCACTCACAGTTGAACTGAGGTGCATAGGATGATAATGGGTATTTGGTATCCCAAGGAGGAGGAGAAGGCCATATGATGATGATAATGAGGTGTGGTTCATATGATAGCCTGGATGATGATCTCCAATGAGTGATGGAAATGGGCAGCCAGGGAGAGAGAGGAAAGGAGCAAAACAAAAGAGAGAGAACAGAAGATAGGAGGATGGGCATAAAGGTAAAGTTTGAACCAATCCTGACTGAAGGCATCTACCACCAAAGCCAAAGGATATGGAACCAAGAACCAAAAGAGGGGTAGTTTGGAATCAAGGTGAGTGGCAAGTCATCCAGAAGTGGAGTACTACACTGGGTACACAACCATCAAAACACCTGGGGATCTAGGGACCACTTCCTGGAGAGAATCTTGTAAGAATGAGACAAGCGACCCACAAAAAGATTCAGAGCACCTGGGTCATGACATGCCAGTAGATGTATGTGATATGAATGGGCCTAGAAGAGGAGTTCCAGTATTCAAAAACAAAGCAAACATGAAAGAGTGCCCCCATGTCAGTTGATGTAAGAGACAATGGTTGAATTGTTGGAATGGATCATGACTAAAGATAGGAAATAATCCAAAGCTTAAAGAATGACAAGTAGTCCCAGAAGATTGATAAGCAGAGCTGATTCAATCAAAGACCAACTATCTGTGATCTCCTGGGAATCCATGAATGCCCCCAACCCTTCATAGAAGAATCTGTAAATAGATGCATCTTGGGATGGGGAAGAAGAAGAGGAATGCCAGCCATGGTGATGTCCCTGTTGAGTGACCATACTAAATTGACATGGAGGGAGAGGGATAACAGAGTCAAGAGGATCCCAAGCAATATTCCACTGATCATGCAACACCCATTGAATAGTATGTATGTGAGCACAACCCAAAAGAATGAGGGCTTCCATCAAAGCTCAAGTCCCCAAAAGAGATAGAACCTAGCAAGCAGTGACAGGAGGAGAGGATTGAGCTTTGAGAACTAATAGTTCCATTGATTACAACCAGAGAGGAGAAGGCTGGGCCTGACTGACATACAAATTGAAGAGCACTCCCAAACAGATGGGGTATTAGGTCAGTATGAGAAAGGAGTTATCCAACATGACTAGCCAACCCACACTACCAGCCTCTAGGAGAAGTAAATGTGTGTGTTTGTGTGAGTGAGAGAGATGTTTGTTGGAATGGAGCTAAAGGCAGCCAATCATTCATATAATGGTGAAACTGCAGACTTTGAGAATGAAGAAGACAGGCAAAGACCCTGAAAACCCAACAGAATACATATGGTACAGAAGCCAGACCAAATGGAAAAGTGCAAAATTGATATACTCAACCTTTTGTGGACAAAATGAAGGTAGCATCCACATGTTAAGGAAATAGGAATGTGAAGGTAAGTAACCAAGATGTCAACCTTCATCATTCAAAGTAAATTCCCACTTAAGAGTGAGGAAAGGCTATGATGAAATGAGGTAGGTCAATGAAATGGATATGACTGGAGAGATCTACGACATGGTGCCAGCACCATGTCTTTGTAGGAACTACTGACATCTGGGAATAGAACCTTGAAGAAGGGTTATAGACAAGTGTGATAGCATCCTTGTGAAGATCTCAAACTGCTTCGGAAAGATGCTGGCAGAAAAATGGATCCAGAGGATGATAATGGTAAGTGGAGTTTGAAAATGAAAGTAAAGTCATACGGATAACACCTGAAGCACCCAAGGATCCATGGTGAAAGTGCTCCATAGGTGTGAACAAACCTGGCCAAACATGCCACAACCAACAGTTTAGTCACAGAATCCTAAGCAGCAGGTGATCTGGTAATAATCAATCTGATGGCTAGCCACTGAAACCTGAGAGAGAAGGACAGGCAAAGGGAAGGAAGGTGAGATACGGGAACAGGCAAAGACTGTGAAAACCAAGGATGAAAGAAGAAGTGTTGACAAGTAGCCTCTACCCTGGACTCCAATGAGCCAAGAAAATTTTCAAGGACTGACTGGTGTAAAAATTGAGCCATACAATGGTCACGCAAATAGGAAGTGGACAGGCACACATGAGCTAAAAGCAGATCCCTACTCAGGAGATCCCAACAACTAAGGAGCCAAGTTTGTAGGTTAAGGGTAGAGGAAGACAAGCTTGCCAAAATGTAAAACAGGAAGGAGCAAGTATCCACTAAAAATGCTTGAGGGGAATTATGGATAGCCTCAGATAGGATATGGATAGAGGAGAGTTAACATAGGATAATGGTGACAGGCAAATAGAGATGAGAAAATTGGGCCTAGGAAAAACCCCATAGTGGTATCAGAATCAGATCCCCACACCCTAGTCAAAAATTTTAACTTCTGTGAGTTCTGAAAAGGGAAATTCCAAATGATGATACATTAATGCATAGGAATCAGAGGCACAAGAGAGACAAGGTATACTAATCTCAGAACATAATTGTGCTGGAAACTGATTAGCATGGACCCTGATATCTAGAGAGAGCAAGAAAACAAGGTAATCTGAGGAAGAAGTTGCATGCAGGAAAGAAAAAGAAGAATAATAAGACAAAAAGGATACAGACAAAAGGTAGCATATCTGGAACATCATATCAAGGAAGGTGGAGGAAGGTCTGGCAGCATCCACAGGTGTGACCCAGGATTGCATGGCAAAGGAAGGAGGTGAAAACATGTTGTCCAAATCCTCATCATTCTGACCAGGTTCCCCAGGAAATGGTATATCTGGTCTTGGGTAAGGAGACACAGCAGGCTGCATGATGGACTCTGACTCATGGCAAACTGAGACCAAAACCTTCTCAGCAGAAAGAACAGAGTCTGAAACCTGAGAAACTACAGGTTTAGGTTCAGTGGCATTAATAATTGTTCTAACTTTAAATTGTGAATTCATAATTCAAATTCAGAGTGGGAGTTGTCAGATCAATCTATAGTATCAAGTTAATGATGAGAAGAAAAAATTAATAAACTGGAAACAACAAAAATAGTTGTTCCACTAATCATTCAAAACCCCCAAAAAATAATAAAATCAAACACAAGCACAAATTAGATACACCTGCACTCAGGTATACCAAATCAACAAGTAAAGATTGGGATCTACAGTATAGAGGGAGTCAGCTGTGCCAGGAGGGTGTGTTGCACTCCTATTGGTGGAGGGCTGTTGCATGCTTATTTGTATACTACAGCATAGCTGTACCATGTGTAAACATGTGGGGGTAGGTGAGAGTATCAAGGCTAGTGGTAGTGCAAATTGTGCATAGAGAGGGCAGCACTGAAGGAAAAAAGCTAAGGTATTGTATCGAAAAAAGGTTATGGTTGATATACAAGTTCAATAATCATTTTGAACTGAGCAAGTTAAACTGTTTCAAATGCCAATGATTAACTCTCCCAACACGGGGTCGGTCAATTTGACTGAGTCATGTGACCTTTTGTATTCGTTTAAAGTTGATATAAATTTAATACTTATAACTCTCAATATATTGGGTATATCTTCACAAAATTTGGCAGTCTTTCAGTTAATATTACAAATCTTTCACATACAAAAAGTCGTATTTCATAGTGAAGTATTTCTAATAAAATAAAATAAAGTTTTGTCCATGAATATATTGA